GTGTACTTCTTAATTGGAGTTATTTCAACTATTTTTGTTAATCAAAGGTCTAGCCAGAGTTATTTTGAGTCTGATACATAAAATAAGATCGCTTGTAGTTAATAAATTCCTTAAATTATGGTTCTTAAAGTGTTTTTACTGATAAAAAACTTCTACCCTTGACAGAAAAAATATTGGCCGAGGATTGTTAATTTTGTTGACAGAAACTCTGCTCAAAGATGATTCCATTTACTGATACTGGTCACATGTTTACATTGAGAATCAATTTCAGAACTCATGCATAGTTCTAAAATAATATTTTGGACTGAAATGAATTGCAGATATGTTTCAATATGAATGGACACTGCTTTTAAGAACCACCACCTAGATTAACTACAAATAAGAAAGTTCATCTCAGTTCAAAATAAAAAAAACAAAACAAAATTTGTTTAGCCTTAAGGTTTCTGTTATCACAGGTTTAAATAGCAAACTCCTAATTAAATTTGATTTCCAAATATTACGGTGTCACCAAAATAGTCCCTCAAAGTCACCTGCTTTGTCTTTATGGAGAACTAGACTGGAGCCACAAAAGGACACACATGATAACGATTATATATTTTTGAAACACTAATTTGGTGATAAAGAATTTTTTGAAACACTGTAGTGCTATTGTGATCTTAGACAACAACATTTGGGGTTTGTATCATATTTTAATACAAAGATATTAAGATTGCAATTGGAAAATTAATGACTTATAAAAGGCAACAAATGTGAACACAAATTTCACTATAATGAGAAAGATGCATTGAGCATGCATCAATGCAAAATACAAGTGAACTGCGTGTCTTACCTATCTTACAATGATGAAATTCTTAAAACAGTTTTCGACGTTATCAAACTACAAGAAAAGGAACTATGGAAACACTCACCATCAGCCCTTCACATATACTACTTGTACTTAAAGTGATAATACTTCCAAACTAACGTGATAATACACACATAAAAACCATTAAAACTACGTTGCCATCTACGTTGTCTTGATGACGTTGTCTCCATATAGATGAAAGAATCTTTACTACTGTTATCAGAAGATTGATGGCTTCCGGTTCTTCTGATTCACAATGAGAAAATCATCCGAGCCTACAAAATACATCACGTGCAGCACGGTATATCAATAGTATGTTAAAGTGAAAATCAGTTCAAATGAAGCATCTGCCTCATTCGTCAAGAAAGTAATCTTCATTTTTCTAATGAATCTGTTTGATTTTCTCACCTCTACATGGAATACTGCATTGTTTGAAACCTTCCTCTGTGATGATTAGAACAAAGAAAATATGCTCTTCTTTTTCTTCTTCTTTTTCTCTTGGTTTGTTTCATGGACGGAAGATGGCATACCTACACCTTCCTTGATATCCACGTCTGATAATTCAGAATCAAACCCTTTTGATGAATGGTATTCATCTAAGTTAAGATATCTATTAAACACTGTTGAAATATTCATAATATTATCACCCTGCAAATTTCAGAAGAAAATAAACAGATGAATTCAATGTGTTCTAAATAAAGACATCAAATATAAAGTAATGGGACAGTACAGAAACAAAAGGAGATGCTCATTGTATCATTAGAAAAATTTGGAAAATATATCTTTACCTGTTCGGAGACGGCCTCTGCATCCGTATCACTACTTTCACGGTATACCTTTCTCAATGACTCCGATTGGGTGAAAGTATTGTAGAAGGTATTTATATTTTGTTCATTGTTAATATAATCGTCATGAACAAAAATAGAATTCAGGAATTCCTCTTGCTGAGTAGTTTCATATGAAATATGCTCAATGTTAGATTCATTTCTAAAATAGGCATCGTGATATGAGGAGTTTGGAAAAGACGTTTCGTCTTGCTGTAAGGTCGTTCCCATTCCAGAAAAAGTACTTCTCTGAAAATACACACAAGTATCAATTGTCAGCATTTTCACATGACAGAGTGCTAATATGTTCGTGAAGAATGTTTCAGCTTACCGAATCAATGCCTCCTGCTATTGACTGATTCTCATAGCCAGGAACCATGATTCTACTGCTCTCCCCTTCATCACCTCCAACTTCAGTTGTTCCCCCAGGTTTCTTCATCAAGCGACACAAAGCGAAAGTCCTCTGCAAAATAGATCATAATCAGAAGTTATTCCATACAATTCGAAGAAATGAAAAGCCAAAACGAATCAAGAAATGCTAAAATGACGTGATCATTGGAACTTCTTATAAATGCTAAAACTTAAAATATCCACTGATATACGTCAAAGGCTATAGAACAATGAAGAAAAATCAAGAAAGACTATTTCCAGTCAGTGTTAAAATTCTCCAAAACGCATACCAACCTGGCTTTCGTGAAAGGTAACAGCATGGTATTCATGAATAACCCAGTTGGACTTCTCAGCACGTGAAACGCGGCCTTTGTAGTAAACGAGAGTCTTTTTTGTGGCAATGAGAATGTTGGAGTCGGAGCTCCAAATCTCACGATCTTTTCCAGTGGGTTTCCAGAAGCCACACTTGGTTGTCCTGTTAATCCTTTTACTGTTTGAATACTTGAAACCAACAGGACTGAAGAAAAACCATTCTCGAAAATCGAATTGCACGTCTGATTCCCCGAATAACACTGTTTCAAACAAGAGAAAAAGTAAACATCAGTGAA